CCTTTCCTCTGCCATGAAGGCATCTTAACCACCTTCAGTTTAACCTTTTAAAGCCTTTTTGCAACTTATTTAGACATTTTACAACTTTTTACTTTACCACACAAAGATTATCTCATCTAGAAACATTTTTTTCAACCTTTCATATTAAAATATATTTCCACATCTTGAATCTTTTTATATCTCTTTTCTAGCCATTAACCCTTTTTATAAATTCACATTCTGAAACAACCCTTATAAAATTTCTGAATTTAGACAAATTACTCCACTTTAATAAGATGAAATGTTTTTTATGTTTTTCATGTTTTTTATGGTACTATAATACTATAATTGAAACCCAACTGAAACTTTTTATACTCTTTGTATATAAATTACACCTGATAGAATCTTAGCTCTTAGTAACCTTGTTTCAGCAAAGACACAGACGCAAAGCAATATTAAACCTTTTTTCCATTTACCAATTTATGAAAACACACATCATGCTTAAATATATTACCTTATGGAACTTAATAAGTAAAGAGTACTTGATTTTATATTTAGTGGTTGATATTTCAACACTTTAGCTTTGTAAATTAATCAGATATATGTAAAAACCAAGATCTTAGACAAGTGTAGTAAACAGAATTAGCCATCTCTTTCTTGTTGAAGAAAAATATTTTTACAGGATACCATGATGGTCCCATTGTGATATATTCAACAACTCCTCTTTAAAAAGCCATGGGCTACATTTTTGTATTGTATCAACATATGCCCTAATTGTTCTTGGTATTACTGGGGTGCCTCCTTTTTCTAACAATTTCTCTTCCTCTGGGGCGAACAACTTCAAACCTTGAGCCAAACATTTTCCCCTCTTTGCCTGAGAAAGTTCTAGGGACAGGCAACTTGAAATAAAAACAAAATACATCAAAACAAGAATACATTGGTTTTTGAAATGGTCACCCATTCTTTCGCTTTCCTTCAGGGGCGAGCAATTTCACTTATCTCCAAGCTTCAGGCACTCCCCATACGGGCCACCAAATGCCAGCAGTCTGGCTGGGCACAAAATAACCGAGCCGCCACAAAGCCTTGTAGGTTCAAACAGCAACTCTTTCTTATTCCCAAACTCTCTCTGGCACTCTATGCACACTTCCCGGGAATACCCTGCCTCCACTGGGCTCCGCGTGCCAATTCTCTCGGAACCCTGCAAGAACTCAGGGAACTCCAAAGTAGCAGGTGCCCAAAGCAGCAGGATCCGCCCTAATCCCAGAGCCGCCCTAATACCAGAGCAGGGTCACCTTTAACCATTCCCTCTGGCAAAAATGCCAAGCGTCATTCTGACTCAACTGTGGCTCTCAACAACTAAGTTTTGCCTGTTTTTGAACTATAAGTAGAATCATGGTATATATTCTTTTGTGACTGGCATCTTTTGTTCACAGTTATTTATTTTTTAATCATCTATATAATAAACTTAGAAGTAGATAGTTCAGAAGTTCATAATGTCAGTACCCTTGTCACTGTGTTCAAATAATTTTTTGGCTTTCCCTGTGTGATTACCAGGAGGCTGTAGCCCTCCAGACCCCATGTTTGTTTGTTTTTATATAATTTTATTAGTTGTAAATGGCCACAATACCTTTATTTTATTTGTTTATTTTTTATTTGGTGCTGAGAATTGRACCCAGTGCCTCACACATGCTAGGCAAGTTCTCTACCACTGAGCCACAATCCCAGCCCAGATCCCATATTTTGCATGACTATATCCCAAGAAAAGAAGCAGGAAAAATTATGGCAGCAAAGGAATTTCCCTTTGCATGTCCTCTCTTTTTTTCTCATATGATTCAGTTATTGATACAGTTAATGGACCTAACTTGTTGTATATAAATTGTCCAACTTTGGAAGAATTTAATGGAATGTATGTTAAGTTTGTGGCACAGTGTTGGGTAACATTGTATGCTTGCTGTCGGTGAATATTGATAACTTACACAACTGGAACTTTTCATACTTACCTTTGAAGTTTTTCTGAAATGATTTCTAGTGCTTTTCTTGTACAGCTTTAGTTAGGCTGGAGATGTAGAGTGTGTCACTCAAGGTGTTCCATCCACTCTTCTGCCTAGCTGGCTCTAGAAGCTGCTAATATCTTGATAGTGTTCTATCTTTGTATTTTTGCCTATAGTAAAAATCTTCATTCTCAGCAAAGTTCTGTGACATTATTTGCTCAGTGAAACTATTTAAGAGCTCAGAAATCAGTGGAATACGATTTTGACAGGATAATGGTCTTCTGGAATACTAAATTTATAATTCATATACATTTAATTTTCAAGCTGGAAACTATTATCTAGTGGCAGTGTTCTGTTCTGGGTAGTTTATTTCCAATATTACAAGAGGATAAAACTAAATTAGTGGCATTTGAATTTGCCTTTGGAGAGATACCCCATGACTGTAGTATCAGCTATTCATATAAAACAAAAGTACTTGTGTTATAAAAAGGCAGTATAATGAAGAGAAAGATCTAGTAATCCCTACAAAGTATTTTCTAATATTTTAGGTTCACTGTCAAGACTAATGACTATTTGACTTCCAAATTTGCGACATAGATCGATATGCCTATGAAATAAAAGCATGATGGTCGATGCTTAAGAAGTTGTTCAGACAGACCTGGGGTTATAGCTCAGTTATAGAGTACCTAACATGTGTGAGGCCCTTGTACAAGTTGTACAGGTTGGCCTTTGACAGTCGTGATCTGATATGACTTATCTTTAAAATAAAAGATTCCAAAATCTATTTGCATTAAGAACTCTGCAATATTTTGTTTTCTACTTAAACATTTTATTTACTTTAGTTTATTAAATAATAATAATTTTATATAATTATTTTTATTTTTATGTTTTTAGGTTTGCCATCCGAAAGATAATGCTGTTGGAATTTAGGTGAGTTAAAAGGAAATTACTTAAGCTGGGTACGGTGGCACATGCTTGTAATCCCAGCGGCCCAGGAGGCTGAGGCAGGAGGGTCAAGAGTTCAAAGCCAGCCTTAGCAACTTAGCAAGACCCTAAGTGACTCGGCAAGATCCTGAGTTGCTGGGAAATACAAAACAGGGTTGGGAATGTGGCTCAGTGGTCTGAGTGCCCCTGAGTTCAACCCCTCTTCCCCCAAAAAAGAAATTACTTTGATGAAGTTAAAGATTATAATGTGATTTAAGTCTTAGCCACTTTTTAAATGTATCTCCATGAGCAGTTAAGAAAATAAGTCTATCCACTTACAATATAACTTATCTTGCACAAGGTAGAACACATCTTGCACAAGGACCTGGGTTCAGTCCCCACCACCAAAACAATAAACAAGAACAACAAAAAATAAAGAAAATAAATTTGTGGGGATTTATATTTTTGTGATTGGTTTATTTTGGATATATATGTATCTTTTTTTCTAAAGATTCCCTGTTACCAGAAGAACTTGTATTTTGCAGTGTTTCTCACTGCATAAGGTAGCATATGCTGAGCAGTTTCTGTCTTGCTTGGTTTGTAGTGATCATTTTGAATAAATTGGGGATATATTCTATAGCCATTTTTTTTCTGTCAACCTAATGTGTTGTTACCAATGCATCATTATTCAACCTATCCACTGATAACATAAATATTTCAGATAAGAGAGAATGAACAACTTAGTTATAAACTTAGTTATAAACCAGGTTTGGCCAGTACACTGTAAATAACAGCCAGGATTGTCGTTGATAATAATATTTACCATTTATTGAACTATTGCCTTGTGCTAGGCATAGTGTTAAACATTTTTATTTATAGAGTACTCAGTAACAGTCCTGCAAAGAAAGTATTATTCTTTCCATTTACCAGAAGAATCTGGGATCAGAGAGCTGAAGTAATTTATTCAAGATATTACAATGAAGTAATTGGGAGATCTGGTATGTCAATGTCTAATGCCAAAACTCATGGTTTTTCCACTTCTGTGTACCTGTTGAGATCTGGTTTCCATCAGAGGTCAGGGCTTCGGTATATATAATATTTATTCTCTACGTACAGTGATTTAATCCTTATAAAAGTGGCATGAAGTAGGTGGTCTTATTCTTAAAGAAGGAAATTGAAGTTTATAGTTATTATTTAAAGTAAGTTGAGGTAGTTACATACTAAGAACTGTATTATAATATGATCTCATTAAATCTTCACAGTAACCCCTTTTTGATCATAAAGGAGAACATTGTAGGCTAGAAATTAGACCCTACCTAGTCCTTAGATAAATGTGCCCTTTCCATAGTGTCACATCACCTTTCAAAAGTTAGCCAGCTTTTTGTTGCTCTAACAAAATACCTAAGATAATCAAAAGGGTTTATTTTGATTCATGGTTTCAGACCATAATTGTTTGGCCCTGTTTCTTTAGACTTGTGGTGGCATAATAAATCATGGTAGGAACACATGATGGAACAGGTGTATTCACCTTATGGCAACTGAGAAGCAAAGAGAGAAGAAGGCACTAGGGTCCAATATCTCTTTCAAGGGCATGCTTCCAGTGATCTAACTTCCTTCCCCTAAGCCTCACCTCCTAAAGGGTTAAGGATCTCCCCATAACACCACAGGCTGGATTCCAAGCCTATAAAACATGGTCTTTTGCAAGATAATACAAATGGAAGAAATGATTTACAGTAGAAGGGGTAGAGAGAGAAAAGGGGAGGGGAGGGGAGGGGAGGGGAGGGGGGTAGGTAGAGAAAAGAAAAGCATCAAAATACATCAGACACTAGAAAGGCAATATGTCAATCCATGGAAGGGAAACTGATGTGATACCACAATTTGTATACAGGGTAAAAGGGGGAGTTCATAATCCACGTGAATCAAACCATGTAATATGATGTATTAAGAACTATGTAATGTTATGAACGACCAATAAAAAAAAATAAATAAAAATAAATAAATAAATAAATAAAATTGGATTAAAAAAAAAAAAAGATTGGGTGAAAAAATGTTTGCTGAGATTTCACGATACTCGTAGTTGTTTGGAAGCTTGGCAACCCCTTTCAATGAAAGTGATTCTCATCAGTCTCTGCTTTAGGCTTCTTCAATAGGACACAAACCATAGCGATAGAACTTGGAACTACATTATTGTGCCAAGTTTCAAAGA